ACATACATACATACATACATACATACATACATACATACATACATACATACATACATACATACATACATACATACATACATACATACATACATACATACATACATACACACATACATACATACATACATACATACATACATACATACATACATACATACATACATACATACATACATACATACATACATACATACATACATACATACATACATACATACATACATACATACATACATACATACATACATACATACATACATACATACATACATACACATACATACATACATACATACATACATACATACATACATACATACATACATACATACATACATACATACATACATACATACATACATACATACATACATACATACATACATACATACATACATACATACATACATACATACATACATACATACATACATACATACATACATACATACATACATACATACATACATACATACATACATACATACATACATACATACATACATACATACATACATACATACATACATACATACATACATACATACATACATACATACATACATACATACATACATACATACATACATACATACATACATACATACATACATACATACATACATACATACATACATACATACATACATACATACATACATACATACATACATACATACATACATACATACATACATACATACATACATACATACATACATACATACATACATACATACATACATACATACATACATACATACATACATACATACATACATACATACATACATACATACATACATACATACATACATACATACATACATACATACATACATACATACATACATACATACATACATACATACATACATACATACATACATACATACATACATATACATTACATTACATTACATTACATTACATTACATTACATTACATTACATTACATTACATTACATTACATTACATACATACATACATACATACATACATACATACATACATACATACGAGAGAGGGAGATTGGGGAGAGAGAGGCTTGGGGGGATGGGGAGGATGGGGAGCAGACGGAGGGAGAAAGGACGACAGAACACACAAGGGAGACAAGGGAGAGAGGACGAAGGAGAAAAGGGAGAGGACAATGTCGGCGGACTGAGCCGGAGGCTCTAAAGTTTGGATATTTATTGGATCAGCTGTTCGATTGGTTTGGAGGGTAGTTCTTCCCATCCCACAAGAACCAGACCTCTTCCATTTACTTCAGCTTAAGCCCCTGGAAAAAATAGGAAAACCATGTCCAGTAGTGATAGATTCCCTTTGAACCAACAAGGGAAAAATAAAACAGAAAACGTATTCTTGCGCAAATGGACGGAGACAGAAAAAAAAACAAGACAACCTGAAGTGACCTGGGGGGACATGGGATTGCCAAGCAAATGAACATGAGAATCAGAAACAGGGACTTGCCTATAGAAGTGTTCGCTTTTCCGTAGGTGTTATCTTTCTCTTGAGTGGCACAAAAGCAAAAGGTGCCTTGTTTCTTGGTTTGAAAGGGAAGCTACCGTTGTCCCCTGCTGCAAGCAGATGTTGAACAACGAGCTCCACGAGCCACTTTCTCAAACCTGTCAAAGGAGTCCGCTCTTGCAGGGTTACGAAATCTTGAATTTTCACCTCACTTGGTTGACGTTGGAAGGGGAGCAACAATTAAAATTTTAGCTGTTAAGTGGGGATTTCCCACTAAACCACAACAAGCAAAAATGTAAAATGTTTCCCAACAACGACCATGCTCAGGTCAGCATTAAACATCTCGAGTCACAAATCCAAAGCCGGTGACATGTGGTTACTTGTGATCCGTCTTGTTGTTACTTATGATTACGTTGGCAGTGTATGTCTGCGTATGCTTAATTCAGGTAACCCCAAATTGGTGGTTTGGATTGGGTAGAGGGTAGATGGGAGACCACTCCCGAACCACCAAACCACCAATCCAAACCACCAATTTATAGGGTAGCTGATAAAGATTGTGACGTGTGGCAGGAATTACTGCAGGCAGGACTGGCTTCAGCCTGGCAAGTCTTCAGCCTGAGCTGTTCCTGCCCATGACCCGCAAAAATAATGGTCAAGCTAAGCTGGTGGTCTTGGCACTGGAGAACGTCTTGGCACTGGAGAACCATCTCAAGATCCACGCAACAACAGACCGAACCAGGCATCGCAAGCCACAAGAGTTAAGGTCATATTGCCTTGAGAGTGCGTCAAGCGGAAGCAGGTCAGTTGCCTGCCATTTGATTCACAACCCTGATGTTCCATGGTCCGAAATTCCTTTGCAGGGGCGTCCCCGAAGGAACTCTTCAAACATCTGGGGTGCTTGGATGGTGTGTGAAAGTACATAAAACAGGAAGCCAACTAATTCCTTTGGCGTACTTTGGGTGGTTCTCTGTAGGAAACTTTTCATCTGATCATGGTCAAAATCCAGTTCCTAACGGGTTCAAGCCACCTCTCAAGTGAACCAGTGCCGAAAGAAGGGCCCTACTCATTTGGAATAAACAGCAACACAGCCGACGTCAAATTCATCTCTTCGGAATTCTGGTCACTAAAAGCCATATCACAACGCAAATTGCTCACTGAATATGTGCCGTCAGCTGTGCTTTTACATGGCTGGTTTTCTTCAGCGTGATCGGGACACAATTCGCATGGATCCCGCCTCCCACAGCGAGGTGAGCACAATGAAGGTGTCCAGGAAACCCCAAGCCCAATCCTGGCAACCGTGAATCAACCTGTCCTACTAATAGAAGGTTGTCCCCCTCCAGTGATGATTCCCCACTGAACCCAGGGACAGATCCATATTAATAAGCTCGGGTTGATTATTCTGGGGTCAACATTTCCAGAACAGCCGCTGGTGGTGGGCATTTGGCCAATGGAGAATTTCCTGCTGGTTATGAACAGTACAGCTGCCAGCCAGTAGACAGTTGCAACCGCACGCACCTCGGCGCATGGAAACCCATCTGATGAGAAGGGAATCCAATGGAGATCACATGACTTCCTGCCGCAATCTCAAAGGCAAGCACTCGCGTGTTCTGGTTTGCGGCCGAACCGCATGGAAGCAGACGATTGCAACTTGATGAGGCTCATGTTGGTGGCACAAGTATGCACTTTGGAGCATACCTAGGTCCTCCAGTAGAGAGTCTGGAATAAGGGGAAAATTTCGGAAATACCTTTTTTCTTTTTTGGCCTATTTTAGGGGAACCGAATCTACCCAAAAAGTGGCCGTGAGAAAGGGCACCAATTGCTGGGGGACCTCGATGCCCAGGGAGATGAGAGATGCATTCCACAGGTGCCCTCCAAGAATCCGCGAGCGAGGCTGAGCCGCTGTGCACAAGAGGAGCAACAAGTCCACCAACAGGTGTGTGAGTGTATATAAATATATATATATATACGTATATATGTATCTATCATTCTATATGGGTCTGGTTTCTTTCGAGGGTGGGTCTGTTTTCGTGGATTTAAACCAAAACCGAAAGGAAAATCTCCATTTGGGATTTTGGAGGGTGCAGCCTGAAAGACACGCCAGAGAAAAAAAAAAAAAAAAAAACATAAGCCATGGACAATGTAAAATGAGAAACTCTCGTTCTGCTGGTGCTTTCACAGAAGCCCAAAGAAAAAGTGAAACAAACATCTGCGAATCTTCTGTTCGGATCTTCCGATTCCCATCTGAAACACCAACCTTGCCCTAGAGTTAAGGAGACACTTCGACAGGTCCGTCCCCCTCCTCCGAGCAATAGAACCTGCGGCAACCATTGGCCAGGAGCCGTAAGATGAGCTCCAGGGTGAAGAGCGCTGTGTAGCAAGCCCCAGCGATCTGAAAGACCGCAGTGCCTTGATCCTGGCGAACCAAAAAAAACGGAAAAGAAACTGGACGCTTCCAAAACTGGGGAGAAGAGCCACATGGGGGTGGACTAAAAGGTCCGATGAACATGGGATGACCAGGGAAACCACCAAAAAGATACCACTTTCACAACCAAATCACTTTGGCAAAGTTACCCATGGTCATTTTGGGGCCTTTAACGGAATCTTGATCAACCCCCACATGGGCGACCTCGTTTTATGGTTAGTTGCGTGTGTTCGTTTGGAGCTCGCCTCAATGGCGTCCTCGAGCCAAAGCTTGGGCATGGAAGGCCCGTGAAATCAGGAAATACACTACGAGTCTCCTGGGTTTGGGGTTTCATGTTATCATCCTAGAGTCTCCATGACCCTCAAAAACTGGGTCCATGACCCCATAATTTTGGGTAATGACCCCATTTTTCAAGGGTCATGGAGACTCCAGGATGTTCTCCTGGGAGTATGTTTTTGTTGGGACAACCACCCAAAGCACATGCTGCCGGACTAGAAGGCAGCAGTCAGCAGGTAAATTTGTTGTCGCATTTCAATCTTGAATAAGCAAGTCCAAAAAATAAGACACCTTCAAATTAATTAGTTGAATTCCTGATGCATTAGAGCACGGGGGCGGGGGGGGGGCATTTGCACAAGGACCGAGAAAATAAATATGGTTTCCCAAACAATATCTACAGGGTGGGGGGTGGGCATGTTTGCAGTGCTGGAAAGCGATTTGTTCGAAGTGGGGCTTGAGCAAATGGAAGGTCATGGAGACTCCAGGCACCTCTTTTTGTGCACTGAAGTTGCGAGATCAGCGCAGTTGACCCTTTCGGGCTTGACCCTTAGGCAATCGTTTGAACCAAGGGTCAGAGTTCTGGATCAAATACTTGTTTTGATCTAGAGCAGCTGATAAGCTCGTTTGTTCCCACTGGAAAAGAATAACTATTTCCAGTAGTGATACACTCCCTTTAAAACTAACAAGGACAAATAACAAGCATATTCTTAAGCAAATGGAAGTGACCCTTCAAAAATCGAATAATAACCCCTTTCTTCTACGCAATAACCTTTTGTTTAAAGGGTCATGGACACTCCAGGTGCTTCGAAATAGCTTGTTTTCCCAAGCGAACAGCTGTGGCAATTTAGTTTGTGAATCAATGCAAACTAAAGCAATCATTCCACACCATGTTGTTCCATGGTCAGTTGACTTGCGTTTGTTCCTTTCCTGTGGCTGATATTGACCCCAACATTTTTTTGGGGTGGCTTGCACGAGTCACCACTTTAGGAACCATTGGACTTGGCGTATGGGGCACGCATACTTTTGAGATCTTCTGCACATAACCTGGAGCGTCCTTCGCTACCTAAGTTTCTGGAGCCCAAACGCAGTGCAAAACCAAGGATCCTCACCAAAACATGGTAAAAGTTCGGTCAACGTACACTTCTTCCCGCTTCGAGCGGCTTTCCCAAAACCGGGCTGATCGGTCCTTCCTCCAAACAGCTTGGAAGACAAAACTCCCTGCTTTTCAAGGAACGCACACTTTTCGAAGCATCGAGCAGAAAAGCATGGCTCGAACACAAACTTTTCATTGCACAAATTTGTGTTGTAATGGGTGCTCCAGGAAGACATGGCTGTGTGTGTGTGCGCGTGCAAGTTGAAACTCTACATGATTGGCGCTATTCGGGTGCTTCTCCCGTCAAACTCGTCCCAAACAGGGAGCCACAGGGCATACAGGCCAACTGCCAGCTTGCTCTTTCACGCTGTGCAGCTTTCGCAGTGAAAAGACTTGAGTCGCCCAAAGACAGTTCGGGTTAGCCCTTAAGGAGGGGCTGAGGATTTTGGAGGGCTTCTAATATGGATGTAGGGTTTCGGGTTCCCATGGGTTTCCCATCATGGGTTTCCCATGGGTGGGGCGGCACAGGAATCAGACTCTGAGAGGCCCTCCCGACTCCCGAGTGCCTCGGGGTTGATGCTGTGCTGGACTTCCAGGCCGATGAAGATCCTTTTGCCGAACGCATCTTATGCCCAACCAGGTCCTCCAGTAGAGAGGTTAGAGTCGTTAGAGTAAAGGTACCCACTTTTTTTCTATTTTAGTAGGGGAGTTGGTGAGAAAGGGCACCTAGGGGGACCTAGGAAGACTATTCTTGAGCAAATGTCCAGATCCTCTTTCGCCGCGCGGCGAGTTGGTGACCACCACCAGCGCGAAGAAGATGTCGAAGCCCGGCCAGTCCACCAGACGCTGAGACCAGCTCGTGGATGGGGCGTCACTGGCGTTCATGTGGGTGGTGGCGAACCTGCACTGGAAAAACCCATACCCAATTTGCCCAGCTTGGCGTCATGTGGCTGTGGTCAAAACCGTTTTGGGATCCCATTTTGGGGGTTTTCCGGTGCAGCACGCATTTTAGGACCTATTTTAGTGGGGATTGAAGCGGATGTTCACTGGGGGTACTGGCTTTTGACCCATGGCCATGTTGGTTTCCGGCTTACCGCTTTTTGGTGGGTCCACTATGTTTAGAGCAAGCAGCCAGAATCTTGGGTGCTTGTGTTGAGGGTACCCTTTTCTGGCTGGTGCATTAAAACCTGCCGTTTGCTCGTTTGCTCGTTACTTCGTGGCGAAAAAGGATGTAACCAGCTCCTGCTCATTTGCGATCCTTCCCCAAACCAGCCAGCTAGAGCCAAATGGGCGTGGCTTGTTTTTGTTTGAGGGTAGGGTTTGCAGGGAAACCAACTGCACAACCGTTCATTTTGGAGCATCGAAGGATTCTGTGCAGCCGCCTTTGGTTCTGGGGCTAAAAAACTGCTTTTGGGGTTTATCGGGAAGCCACAAGAGGCGGGCAAGTGGTGCATCGGAACCAAACTGAAACCGGAGTTGCTTCCAAAATCAGTTGCATTGTTTGCTTTCTGGGTCGAACCAAGCAGAATCTGAAGATATTGCTTTTGGATGTTCTTGGCTTTTGCATCCCATGGGCCAAGGAAGATCCAACTCAGTTGACATGGAACCCGAAAAGCAATGAGTCTGGAGGAAAGTTTGTTTTTTTCCTGGGGGGGGGAGGGTTCGGGGGGGGGGGGGGCCCTTTGGGCTCCATGTCAACTTGAAGGCGGACACACTGAAAGTGCCAAGCCGAAACTAAACCGAAAGGGCCAAGACTGCAATGTGCTCTGGTTCCCAAGCACTGACTCGGAAAAGTGGAACCCGGGGTGTGTTCATCTCGATTCAAAAAATCCCTACTGAACATAGGGGAGCCAAAACCACCTGGATCAGCAAGCAGCCAGGTGAAACCAAGGAGAAATACTGGGACAGGGTGCAAGCTGTTGCCGCGGACAGGCAACAAGGTATCCTTTACCGCAAGGGGGGGGGAAGTGACCTGAAATTCCATGTCAAGCCTGAGCATCCAACGGAACACAAAGCCCTCGTGGTGGAATGCCAAGGATTCCCGGCAGGATGGATGACTGAGGAGGTCGTGGAGTTCTTTGAGGCCCAACTGTGGACGAAAGTTCAGGTCCTCACTAGGCGAAGGGAGAAAAAGGGAAGCTGCTGGATCCTGAGAGGTACACCGCCCGCTCAGGAACAGTCCAGGCGGCAATGGGCCTTTGAACTTCAGGACCACTTCAACCAGGTGGTCTATGTCAATGCGGCCCCAACCAAGGTGAAACAGCCAACAGCAAGAGAGTTCGTGCCAGGGCCCAGGAAGGCGTGGCACTCAGAGAATGGCACGGCAGCGCAGAAGCCTAGACTGCCTGCAACTATGCATGGAAACAGCGAGGAAGATGCTCGAGAAAAAAAACGGAGCCCTAAACGTACGCTTACCTCCATCGAGGCGGATGGCTCCTGCGCAGCCACTCAGATGGATGTTGACGATACTGAGCAGAAAAACACTGGGAAGGGGCAGGGACTGAATAAAGGTGACCCGTTCACCATCAATGAGGCCCTGCAGCAAGGCTGGCCTGAGGTTGACCACCAAGGACAAGGCGACTGTGGGTACCGTGGCATCGCACAGGCCAAGTGCTTCCTTGAGTCAGGACAGCTGATGGAACCTGACGAATGCAGGCGACAGGCGGCCTGGATGAGAACACAAGCGGTGCAGTGTGTCAGAAAGCGACAGAAGGAGTTCCTTTCCTGGCCAAAGATGAAAATGTGTCGCAAGAGCCCACGCCCCCTGATCAAGTCGAGGCTTGGCTCGAAGAAGCCAAGGCTACGACTTGGATTGGCGTAGCTCTGCAGGCACTCTCAACCAAGCTTTCCACTCCCATCACGGTTTGGAAGAGGGATGGCCAGAGAATCAAAAGGTACACCCTGGCCCCGGCCTTCAAGAACGGGTATGCTAAGGGAAGTAAGAACTGTCGGCCAATAGCTCTCGTCTTGGAGAGTGGACGCTACAAGCAGCTGAAACCTCCGAACATGGACACGGAGTTTTTGAAACAGTGGCTAAGAGACGGACAAACGGTCACTAAGGATGACTTGCAAGGAGCAGGGCGTAAGGCCAGCACCTGCGGTACACAGTCACTGCACACGCTGGCGCGCTCAGAAGCCACACCCTCAGTGCACACTCTGGTGACGCGCTCAAAGGCTCAGACCGGGGCGCCCACTCCCTCTGTTCATACCCTCCACGTTTCGGGAAAACAACGGCGGGACTAAAAGGAAACGGGGCATAGAGGCACGTGTGACACCCACGCGTGCCACACAGGCCGGAAGCATGGCGGGACTGTCAGGGCGAGGCTCACAGGCACGTCTCTCTACCAAAGCGTCCCTTGCCAGCATCGGCCTCAGAAGGAAGACAGCGAACCGCGAACAAAAGGATACCCAAGGGAAACAGGACTCTAAGGATCACCAGACTTGGAAATGCCCAATTTGTTCTGCTCAAAAAACCGGAACTTGGAAAAACATTTGCACGCTGAGGAGATGGCATTGCAAATCCAGACACCCCGAAATCCCCTACCAGCAGTTCTTGTTGAAACCTAGGGGAGTCAAGCCGGCGGTGCCGTCAGCCCTGCTGCCTCAGGAGGAACGGGCTTGGCAATGCCCATGCTGTGATGTCGGAGCCAGTATGAAATGACCAAGGCTGTGGGGCAGCACCACAGAACGGTTCACCCTAAGGTCACCAAGAAACAATGGCTGTCAATGATGGCTAGGAGCAGGTTCCTTGGTAAACCTAAACCCCCCAAAGTCGGAGAGGCGGCTGCTGAGCGGGCGGCCAAGAAGCGCGCGCACAGACTGAAAGGCCACAGGTCTTCGACCTTTCGGATGATGACGCAACGGGAAAGCGAGCAGGCACGCGCCAGTGGTGGTGCGCTGACTGCCTGCAACTCGTTGCTGGATACGGGTACACTACCGGACGGCAGGTCTACAGCTGCAAGGCGGCGAGGAAACGTGAAGGTGCTGCACGACGCGTTCGCATAGCGTGGAAAGCTCTCCTGAAGAAACCCAGGGCGGAGGAACTTCGACAGGCAGCTAGAACGAACCAGTGGATCCGGGATCTCACCCAAGACGGTGACGTCGAACCAAACCCAGGGCCCCAAGGTGCTTGTGCGGAAAACCAACATTTTTTCACGTGGAACGCCGGGGGAGGTAAAGGGGCGTGGAGTGCTCTCGACCTGCTTGCCGAGGCGGCACCTGAGGTGATGATGCTACAGGAAACAGCGTTCGCCCCTAGCGAAGCTTCAGGGTACTTGGCACGAAGCAAGTGCCTGCCTGCAGCCTCAAAGGGCCTGACATCGCCCCATGTGGCTTTAGGCACCGCAGACTGCTGTGCCAGCCGCGTCTTCCTCTTGATGCCACCCGGCATGCATCTCCAAGGATGGCCTCGACTCACCTCTACCGGATGGTCAGCGGGCACGCCTGGGATCTGAGGTTTCAGGCTACGAACGCCATAATGAGCGTCCTGCATCGCCTATCGGCACAATGTGCTCCTGACACCTTGGCGAAGGCCGGCTTCAGGTTGGACAGGAGCCCTGCGAAAGGGCCTCAGAGATTTGGGATGGCGAGAGGATAGCCCGTGGCAATGGTCACATGTGGGCACGGGAAAGATACTGGGGCTGCTAAAGCGCCAGAATGGATGGATGGAGAGCGTGGAAACTCTACGGCATGAGTTAAGGGAGTCATGGCGACATGGCCTCTTTCAGGCTTGGCTTGATAAG